ATGGGAGGCTGTGCAGCCCAGGGATGTAAAGGGAGGTGAGGGCAGGCACTCTTATTTCTTTCACTTTTCTTTCATATTAATTTATTCATATTCTCAGATCTCAATATACCACTATCTTTTATTTCTTCTACTTTCTTCAACTCTTCAACTCTCATTTAGATACAAACCTTTCCTATTTCCTAATTGTATACTCTCTGAATTGTATCTTATTATATTGTTAAAACCAGAATCATTCATCAGTTCATCTATATAAGTTCTATTCTGTGGATTACATTGTATTACTCCCTGCTGCACCAAAGATATCGAGGCTCCAAGAATGGGGCCTTGCTTGCTAATGGCATTTACAGACCAAGGTAGAGTAAATTTGTTAGGGTGGGCCCTGGTCTAATATAATTTCTGAGCTACAGAAAGGAGAAATTTGGAGATGGAGACAGTCATGCACACAGACAAATGCCATATGAGCATGAAGGTAGAGATAGAGTTGATACATCTGTATGTGAAAGAATGGCAAAGATTGTTGGCAAACATCCAGACACCTAGGGGAGAGGCCTAGAACAGGGTCTCTCTCACAGCACTCATAAGGAACCCAGCATGCTGATACCTTAATCTTGCATTCCTAGCCATTAGAAAATTGAGACAATAAATCTGTTTTAAAAATCTCTATTGTTTAAGACTCCCATTTTATGGTACATTTTATGCCTGTTCTAGTGAATTAATATATTCATCTGCCCCCAAGCCTCTCAGAGTAGAAAACAGGTTCATTCCAGGATCTTTACTTTTCTTCATCATTTATAACTGATCTTACCCTAAAGACTCATGCATATTCCTCTACAAATGACTCTTCGCATCTTTAATCTCACATTTTCCATTGCTTCCTCTTTGGTAATTTTTCTCAGCCCTGTTGCCATCACTCTTGCCTGAGCTTTTATCATTTCACATCGCTATTCCTATAAAAGCCTCTGGCTGGCTGCTCTTATTCTAAAATTATCTCCTAAAATGTATAATTCACGTTGCTTTCATCATAGTAGTGCTGTGATGTGCTTATGGAGCCATATTGCTTACTATACTAAATATAAGCTTGGCATGCACAGTCCTCCAGCATTTAGACTCATCTTGCCCACCTAATCTTTTATCCCCTACACAAATCATGCTTCATTCCATCTTTGACCTCCTGCTTCTTCTACTCTCCCATACTATAAAGATGCTTTCTTACCTTTCCTCTTCCCATCTAAACCTATTTCCCTTTCAAGGCTGTGAACAATTATCACCGGCTGTGACTACTCTGGCTCACACTATCTCTTGTCCTTGCTGCATTCTGATCAGTATTTTCTAGGTTAGCAGCAAGTGGAGTTTCTTAAAGTTATGTAGATTTATACATATTTATATCTCCATTTCTATCAGTTTACAGGGCATAGTATTTAATTAACTGATCAAATACTTTTTATTTATTATTTTTATTTTACATGTATGAGTGTATTGCCTGCATGTGTGTAAGGGCACCCATGTTGTGCAATGCCCAGGGAGGTCAGAAGAGGGCATTGGATTCCCCTGGAACTGGAGTTACAGATGGTTGCTAGCCACCATGTGGGTGTTGGGAATCAAATCCAGGTCCTCTGCAAGAGCAGCCAGTGCTCTTAACTGCTGAGCCATCTCTCCAGCCCCTTGATGAAATTCTTAAAGTGAGAAGAATGGAAGGTAAAGAATGGGAAGAAGGAATAAGATTGGATGTCAAGGAAAAAGAAAATTTTGGCTAGAGCAATAAAGGAGAATTGGACTATATCAATGCCTTCTAAATGTGCTCTGTGGACCATCATCAGCCTCTGAATAATTCAGGATGACTCATAACATGCCAGTTCCTAACCCCTGTTAAAGACCTACTGGATCAGACTCTCTGTAGCCCAGAAATCTAAATTTTTAAGGAGAACTGAAATGATTTTTTGGTGTCCCAATTCTGATAAGCACTAATCTGAGTGAAGAAGGTACATGTAGAGATGAACAGCTGCTCTTAGTTCTCCTGCTTCCTGGGTACACGATTAACAACAGAATGAAGCAATTTCACAATAGTATGATTTGCTTTGATGTGATTTCGCCCTCTTTAATATACTACTTTGAGCACAGCAGTCCTTTCTTCCATTGCTAGGGGACTTCAAATACTGTACCGTTAATATGGGCTAATATAGTCTCTGGAAGAATAGCAATTTTGTGACACTCCAATGAAATTTAACTGGTTTTGCATTCTTTGGGAAGTAAAACATGACCAGGGATACAGTCTAGGCTCCTGGAATTCATGTTTGGCAAGCATAGCAAGAGAAAACAACAACTCTGAGATCTGCTTGCTTAAGCTTTTAATTGGAATCAAGTGATAGCTAAAACATGTAGCTGATTTAGATAAAAACCAAGGAGACTACCACTGCCTCACGTCGAGCAGGATTTCTGCAGCTGAGTACTACAGAAGCAAGATAACAGAGTTAGATACGATCGAGGGGAAGAAAAATGCACAAAAGTCCTTGAATTAAAATGAATTGAAACCTTCTGGGAGAAAAGCTATTTGGTAAGCTCCATTAAGTCTATTGTAGATAGCTTTATTTGACAAAGCAGCATCCTGGCATGTGGAACAGGAAAGAAAATAGCTATAAGATGATCTGTCAGGGAATTTCCAGTCTCTAAACGAATAAGATTCTGTGCAGTAGCCAATACAGCTTTTAACTCAAAAGAGATACAGAAGCAGAATGCAATTATATATCCCTAGTAAGTGCATTCAATATGAATTTCCCATATACCCCTCTCCTCCCCTCAAACTCCACACTTCATCAGGTGGATGCTCAAACGTGCATTATTTCACTTATATATTGCACATATATAAACACTATGTACAATGTTGGAGATTCTAGGGTGGAGACAATGCTACAAATTATAATTAATCTGTTTTAATACATATCAGCTAAGTACTTAAATAGTTGAATAGCTCAATTATTATTACAGTATTTTGTTTATTTTGGCTACAGGTTTGTAGTATTTATTTGTAGCAGTAGGTTACAATTCTGGAAAACACTAACTACTGATTATAAAATATCTAGTTTAGAGAGCAGTCTGTTTAAGGACCAAATGTATCAGAACAATACAGAAAATTCAGATGTAACAGATAATGAGTGCCTTTAAAAGTCTGACTTCATGGCTGTTTGTCCTTAAGAGTTTCTGTTTATGGGGTTAAATTCCGAGACCAATCAATCACATAGGACTAATTAGAGCTTCTGGCTTTGGTATTGGAACTGGTGCCAGAACTAAGAAATTCAGATTTGAATTTTATTCAATCAGTATTTCTTCCTATTACATGACAGACCGTAAATTACTATATCTCGAATACTTAGCAATTGCTTGGCATATAACAGCTATTAAATGTCTAGATGAATTCAGCTGACCATCACAAAAATCTGTGATTTTTTTTTTAATAATGTAGTAGCTTAGTCTCAGTGGGGGAAAAGTCCCTCTCAAATCTGGAACTAGAATTCAGATAATCAAACTTTAGGTTCAGTGCTTTTTGGAAAATTTATTTAAAAAATTATATGTGTGGGGTGGTATGAGCATGTGTGTGGGGGGGTGTGCACTCCCATTTGCATGCATAGAAGCCAGAGAAGGATGTAAGGTGTCTTGCTTTATCAATCTTCAGTGATCCTCTTGTCTCCACACCCTACATAGTCCTGGGGTTACTGGTGTGCATGGCCATCCCTGGGTTTTTAAGAGGGTGATGGGGATTTGAACTGGGGTCCTCATACTTGCATAGCAAGTGCTTTTACCTGCTGAAGCATCTCCCCAGCGTAGCCTGATGCTTTTCCCACTGTACTTTCCTATAATCAAACTCCTAAGATGGTTTGGAATGGTTTACCTGAAAAACTAGTCTGATGGTTGGTATGCTCCCCTGTGATGATCTTCCAACCATGATAATGGATGAAACCTATGGGTAAGGTATTGTCTTACTTTTCAAGAAGCTTACCTGATAGACCCACTGGGTAGCCATACCATGGCTTCAGTCTCACAGTAGGTCCTGACTACATTAGAGGAAAAGTATTTATCCAGATACTTGGTTCTCAACATATTCCCTAAGTAATTGCCACAGTTACTTGCTTCAGTAACTTTGTGACTTACTTTATGGAAATTTTTAATTTTTTGTATTCATCAAAAAATTATTTAAAAAATTTGTGTGTGTATTGCGCACATGTGTATGTACATGTACATGCTCATGTGGAAGTCAGAGATCAATGCTGGATGTCTTCTTCTATCACTCTCCATCTTATATTTTGTGACATGGTCAGGATCTCTGACTGAAACTGGAGCTTATTGATTTGGGTAGATTAGTTGGCCAGTGAGCTCCAGGGTTCCTTCCGCCTCTACCTCCTCAGCACTGAGATAACAGGTGTACGTTGCTATGCTGGCTTTTCATTTTTTATGTGGGTGCTGGGGATCTGAACTCAGGTCTTCCTGGTTGCAGGGGAAGTGCTTTAGCAATTGAGCCATCTCCCTAGTTCCTCAAAAATCTTTTATTTCTATTTTAGGAAATTTTCTCCTAAATTATAGAACAGATTTTTGTATTTTTCTTTATGTCTGTTGCTACATATGTTTTGTTAACATTTAAATCTTATATCCATCTGTTACTGATTTTGGTAGGATGTCTAAGTGATATAGTATTTATGCATATGCTATCTCACAGTTGTGGAACATATTAGTACATCCAAATCAAATATGGAACAATGCTGGCTAAATGCCCAGTGGTTCTTTGAAAGAAAAGTCTGTATTAGGCATTTCCAGTCAAGATGGGAATAAATGAAGAACCAAAAATCTTCCAGACACAGGTCTAGATATTACTTATATAGCCCCATCAATTTTTCTAGCTGGTGTCAAGGCTGATGAGTTGATATACACATCTTACTTTGTATTAAAGGTTTGAAAATATTGCATTTGTAAATAAATGCCTAGTACATAAAACAAAGTAGAATTATCATTACCTGATTCTTCAGTTTCTTTTGTTTCTGCTGCTTCTTCTATTTCATCATCAGACATTTCCATTTCTTCTTCTCGTCTGATTCCCATTAATTCATCATTATGAATGTTGCGAATTTCCTAAGGTTAAAAGGTATGCTTTTTAGGGAGAAAACCTGGAAAATGTTGAGGAAATGGACAGAGTTATAGGGATATATTATAAACTCTCAGAGTGCTCTTAAGGCAAAGGCAAGGGCACAGTAAGACTAAATAAGTCTCACTAAAAAAAGCACACTTGGGTATGCTCTGTCTTGCATCAAGCTTTTATTCCAAACCCAGAGCTCCGACAGCCTAAGATAATTATTATAGTCATCCCACATTAGAAAGTACTTTTGGCCATGAAAGATTCCTCACCTCTTACTTGTGTAGATTTCTGGAGTTTCCCTTAAGAGTTTTGCCATTTTCACCTTCCCATGTTGCGCCCTTTAATTTTGTTGCTTGCTATTTCCTCTCTTCTTACAGTGTTACTGAACAGACCTCTAAATCAAGATTTTATACTTTGAGAAGTTACAGTAAAAATGATCTGTCAAGGGTAAACTTCTACCAGACTAACTCTCTTATGGACAATAAGTATAATATTTGTACAAAAGAAAACTCATAGTTACTTGATATCATTGGAACGTGAACAAATGCAGGTACCTTATGAAGAGGAGCTGCATGTGGAAGAAGGAGAAAGCCTATGAACCAGTTTCCAAGTTTTTTAATGGCTTTCTAGTTCCAGAGCAGAAAAGAGTTAGTTGCTCATAGGGTATGCTAAATTTCTAGCAGAAAATTTTGTGGCCTAAATAATGTGAGGTGACAGGTTAGGAAAAAACAGCCACTGGAAAGCAAGAAGGGGTTCTTAGAAAGGGAAACGTGGGGGCTGGAGAGATGGCTCAGTGTTAAGAACATGGTTGTTCTTGCAGAATACCTGGGTCCGAATCCCAGCACCCACATGGCAGCTAACAACTGTCCATAACTCTAGTCCCAGGGGATCCAACCACCTCTTCTGACCTCCACAGGCATTGCATGGCACGGGTGCACTTACCTACATGCAGGCAATACATGCATACACATAAAATAAAAATAATAAATAAAATTTTGAAAAAGGGAAAATGTGCAGAGGGAGGGAGGGATGGAGGAAAGAAAAGAGAAAGGGTGGGAGGGGAGACAGAGAGAGACAGAAACACACACATAGAGAAAGAGACAGAGATAGACACAGAGACAGAGACATTGATTCTTTACAATTTGCATATAAAGTCTATTCAAATTTTTGTATGGTTTCTCAGCTATAGAAGCAAAAAAGATTCTAAACTGCCCAGATGAGGCTGAAAGAGTTAAATAGTTATTGGAACTTCTATTCAATAGACAGAAATCCCTAGCTTAAATACAAGTAATTGAACTGATCATTTAAGCAAAAGAATACAAAGTCAACATTTTGGAATGCCCAGTCTTTAGACCATAACACTCATAATATGGATAACATATTATAGATTTAGGATAACAACCAAAATCACCTGACATCTCAGGAACTAGGTTGAGATTCCATTTCCTAGAGAAAGAACAATCAATAGAGACCAATTTAAAACTTGACCAGTTGTGGCCTTCTGTTTGCATCACACTATTGTATAAGGAAGCTCCACATGTGAGAGTTGAGGGATGAACTAGTTTTCTCTCTACCCAGATGTGGTTATTACCAAACAAAGAATAAAAGTAGCAATTTTAACTATAATCCTGATGTAAAGGAATTGTGATCATACTGAAGAAGAATTTTTTTTGAGAATCTCAGCAAAATGTCAGAAGCTTTAAAAATGAACCAAAAATTCACTTATTTTAAAAGAAGACAAGAGTTCTTTTGTCTGGAAATAACCAACCAACAAGTGAAAAGTTGCTTTTAAAAGCTTCTTTTCTGTCATCTAAGATGCCTCTTCTTTTCACTCATTATGAACACATTTCTTTTACATCTTTGAGCATATAAGAAAATAGTTGTTTAAACTAGTTGCCTGCTAATTACTGTATATGAGTAGTTCTGAAACCTGAAAAACATGACAGTGGAAATAAAAATAAATAGATGAGTCTAAAATTGGAACAGAGATAATAGAGTAAAAAAAATTGCTCAATATCCTTAGCAATTAGAAAAATGCAGATAAAAACCACTTTAAGATTTCATCTTACCCCAGTCAGACTGGTTAAGACCAAGAGAACAAAAGACAACAAATTCTGGTGAGGATGTGGAGAAAGGGGAATGCTCATTCACTGCTGGTGGGAATGAAAACTCATTCAACTACTATGGAAAGTAGTGTGCAGAACTCTTAAAAAACTAAAAATGAACCCACCATATGATATGGTTATACCACGCTGTGCTGGATAGCTTTAGTGTCAACTTGACACACCGGAGCCTCAGTCGGGGAATTAACTCTATTGGACTGGCCTGTGGCGATGTCTGAAGGGCATCTTCTTGATGAATGATGTGGGAGGGCCCAGCCCACTGTGGGTGGTGCCACCCCTGGGCAGGTGGGCCTGTGTTGCATAAGAAAGCAGGCTGAGCAGGGGCCAAGGGAGCAAGCCTGTAAGCAGCGTTCCTCCATGGCCTGTGCTCCAGCTCCTGCCTCCAGGTTCCTGCCCTGGGTTCCTACCTTGGGCTCCCTGATGAACTGCGACCTGGGAGATGTAAGACAAATAAACCCTTTCCTCCCCAAGTTGGTACTGGTCGGAGTGTTTTGTCACAGCAATGAAGAACAAACTAAGACACACGCCATGGCGTATACCCAAAGGAGTCATCTTACTATAGAGATACCTGTACATCCATGTTTGTTGCTGCTCTCTTCACAATAGCAAAGAAATGGAAACAACCTAAATGTCCCTCAAGTAATGAATGGAGTTCTACTCAGCAGTAAGAAAAGATGAAATTTGTAGATAAATTGATGGAACTAGATAGTGTTATACTAAGTGAAGTAATACAAACTCAGAAAAGCAAGCTACAAATGTTCTCCCTCATTTGTGGATCATAGCACCAATCCCATATATATATTTTCTGATGTTACACCAGGAGCCAGAAAAATGGAAAGGAAACATGGAGGTAAAGGAAAAGAAAGAACCTGAAAGGGAGATAGTAGTGAATAGATGCTACCAGGGAGGAGGTGGGGAAAGTGGGACTATTGGGCTGGGAGGGGAGAAGGGAGAGACATACAGGGGACCATGGTTGGGGAGGAGGGAAGTCAGGAGAAGGGGGATGTTGGGAGGTGGGTGTTACTGTGCAGAGGGTGGGGATAATGGGGGTGCTTGGACTGAGGAGGGAGGAGGGAGGTCGGATGGGGGGAGAGGGAGTAGAGATGAATGGATCTTGGGGGGTTAGGGAAGTCAGAGGGAAATGTGTTGCCTCTGAACCCCCCTGAGAAATGCACATTATGGTATCTGAACATAAGTGCATATGTACACCTGGTGGCTGTATGGCAAGGAACACAGTGCCAGACAGGAGAGACCCCCTTTCAGTGGTTTGTCAGAGTGGTTCAAGAGACTTCAAAATAACAAAGGCTATTGTCAGAGCTTTTGGTTTTCTCTAAGAACTGGAAGATGAGACCCTACTGCTGAAGTCAGGACATACTTCAGACTCAGGACTCAGAGCAATGGAGCAGGAACTAACCTGGAAGCCTTCTACTTGAAGTTTGCCTCCCATAGTTCTAGAGGATACTGTGCAACCTGCTAAGGGAGAAAATCAGTCAATGGTCCAATCAAGCCCTAAAACCTAATTACCATAATGATTGGCATGGCAAACTACCTCTATTGGTACAGTAGTGGCACTGTTATCTGAGGAATAATCAATAGCTATCTAATTGGATTCAAAGTCCTCTCAGTGGGAGTGAACTTATGGATAGCAGTGTGAACACAGCCAAATACACATGGATGGAGAAGTCATGAATCCCATAGGAAGCCCTATCCTTATCATAACTCCAGACAAATGAAATTTCTTACCATATGCTAAATATGGATCCTTATATTTATAGACAAGTATGCCATACAAACTAATGAAAGAAGCTTCTTTTTTGCAACAGATGGAGGCTACTGCAGAATCTCACAACTGGTCAGACAAAGAATATTTGTTTAAGAGATGTCTAGTCCTAGGTGACATGTCTACAGTTGAGTGTCTATACCCAAGGCTCATGGAACATACCAAAACAGGGGGTAGAGATAAAACTAGTTCATCCCTCAACTCTCACAAGTGGAGCTTCCTTATACAATAGAGTGTGATGCAAACCGAAGGCCACAACTGGTCAAGTTTTAAAGAGTAAGCGACTGCAGAGTGTGTGTCACTGGATAGGACTCCTGTACGAAACCCCAACCACCCAGAGCTCAGGGACCATTGTGAAAAAGAGGACAAAAAGATTGTAAGATCCAGGGCTGGTTAATGAACACAGGAAACAGAGACTTTCAGGCCACTGGAAGCTTGCACATGTGAACTTGTGGCAATGGTGGCATTGAGCACAGGACCCATGACAACTCAATCAGACAAGGGCCGAGAGTGGATTGAGGGGAAAAGGTAGCAGGCTGGCTGTAGCCTAGGAACTGTTGGAGACTGATTACTTCTGGGTGAGGGAGAGTAGACCTTCCTTAAGATCTCTAGTTAAGGCTGACAAAACTTCACTTGGATGTGAAGGACATCTATGTACAAATGCTTGACTGGATAGGACTTAACATGTATGGTGGAATACATAAGGTCTGGTGGGGCGTATGGATAGGGGAGGGTGTATAAATTTGATTGAGAACTATTGTATGAACTGTACAAAAACTCAATAAAAATTAAAGAGAAAACCTAAAAATGAATCTACCATATGATCCTGTTATACCATTCCTTGGCATATACCCAAAGGACTCATCCTACTGTACTCATCCTACCTGTACATCCATATTGGTTGCTCTTTACACAATAGCAAAGAAATGGAAACAACCCAAATGTCCCTCAGGTGATGAATGGATAATGAAAATGTGCTACATTTATACAATAGAGTTCTACTCAGTGGTAAGGAAAGACAAAATTATGAAATTTGCAGGTAAATGGACAGAACTAGAAACTATTATACTAAGTGAAGTAATACACATTTAGA